ATCTTATTCATATAGATAATCTCCTTCTTGCTCATGGTTGATATTTCAGTGTTTGTCTTTTCCTGTAACTTTTCAACTTGGACCTCATAATTATCATTGCTCTTCCTGTTCTTTAGAGCACTCTACCAATCCCATCATATGTCCCCTTTCCATGATTGCTGACACTGTAGTTCTGTGTCAGACTCTACTGGCCGAAAGCTATTCCAATATTTTGTCATCAAAAATAACATTATCTTATTTCTGTATTGAATGGAAACACCATCACATTTAAAATAAAGACTACTCAAACTAGAATTAAGGATTTAGTAAGATTTGCTAAATGATTGTTCATTGGTCCCATTAGTTGATTGTTACGCTTCCTCAAATCATTACATGTACAAGTAGAAAAAAAAAAATTGTCAGTGGGTGCTGCCATCCACTTGCTTTTTTTCTATTAAACAATTATAAAATTAAAAAAAAACTTGTCATAAGTTCACAAATAAATTAACAACAGGAATTTGTTGGTGGGTGTTGCCAGCCACTGCCTTCTTTTTATTCAGCATTCAGAAGTAATGAAAGTGGCAGATAGCTTTAGTAACTTTGATGGAAAAGACAGGGTGGGCAAGTTTTGGGCCAGTTGGAATTGAACCAAGAGCTTCAAATCATGAGATCCACTCCTTCCCCAGTAAGACAAAAAAAAGTCCTGTAAGCTGAACAATCTTTGAGAAAAAGGCAACAATTTATAAGTCTAATATTTGGAAGGAGCATATATAACCCATTCTATAGCTTTGTACTTAATAGCAATAAATTAATTTGTGAATTTCTTTTCCTCTCAAGAATATAAACTTCATTTAAGAAAATATGACACAGAAACCTACTCTTTTATTTTTGTTACTTTTGCTGCAGCAGACTAGTTTTGTCATATTCACAGCTCATCAGTATCACTTCTGTAATCTAGGAAAAAATAATAGCCCTACATGCAACAGTTGTCAGAATTTACCTCCAACTTTCTCGTGCTTCATCAAACTGGATAGCAATACAACCTAATGGAGTTCTTAACAGTTTAAAGTAGAACCCACAGAGGTAACATCAAAACTAGGAACATCAGTTTAATATTAGAAATAGCTAAGTTATTGAACAACATGGGACCTAATGGTCAATCTTGGCTGTTCCATACTCTAAACTAAACTAAAACTATTAATAAATACATTTTAAAAAATGAAGAAAAAAATATGAAAGCCAGCCCTTATCATTCAAATACTGTATCAAGCTTTCTTTTAAACTCATTGGCAACCCATTTCAGAGGCCAACCTTCTTGTTAGAAAAATATAACTGTTTTCGCTGAAGATGACTCCTACCCTGCTAAAATTTACATTTGTGTTCCTCAGTCCAACTATTCCCACTGTTAAGTATGAAAAACGATAATGCATCAACACTATCAATTCCATTTACAACCTTAAACACCTCAATCAGATCTCCTTACCCTTCTTTTTTCAAGAGAAAACAATTTGAGAGATTTCAGCCTTTCGTTGTATGACAACCCCCTCCATCCCAGGAGCTTTGTTTGAGGGCCGTTGAATAGAATTTCTTGTACACAGAATTACATAAGGAAAAAGAAAAAACATATATACATATATATGCAGTTAATAACTACTGCTAAGAACATTTTTGACAAGTGTATTTTAAAAGCTACAAAGTGAGAGGTTACATGAATTGCCCCTATATTTGAAATTGGAGAATTACCAATATGGTAGTAATTACTTTCTACTGTCACACTTGCTGTCTCACCAACTCTGTCCAAATCACTGCCTTTTGCTGAAAATTTATTCTTTTCTATGCACCTGTATGTCATCTAAGAAATTATAGAAGAGGCCTGTTCAGCTAAATACGTTGTATGGATTTTAATTATCATTTAGTGAAGTATAAGTTATATTGAATCTTGTTATAGACAAATCTACATTATATGTTCTTCTAGCAACTGGAGAAGCTGATTTCTTGGAAGAAAATTCCAAGCAAACTATTTTGATGTTTGATGTAGCAAAAGAGGAGCAACAGGAAAAGATTGATGCAGCATCAGAAAAAAGTGAGGTAAGTTGTAGATTAAATATTTTATGGTTGTGTTATTAAAGAGAATATGTAACTGTAATTGTGTCTTCCTGGACTTTGTTTTTATGGAATCTAATTAGTAATGATATGTTTGTAGTAACAAGCTGAAGAAATCGACTGGAAGTTTGCCACATTATTGTGAATATATTTGGTGCAGCTCTTCTTGCTGCAATGATATTGCTAGTCCACAGGTGTTTCTATATAACTTACTGTACACTTTCTACTAATTACTTATGAAAACCTCATATCAGCTGTATAAAACAAGAACTTAAAATTTTGGATTTTTCTTATAATTATAAAAATTATTCTATGTTGAATCACCCATAATATTTACAGTTGTTTAGTATGTTATATTAAACCTATTCTGGAACCCCATCTCATTGTTTTAATCCATGGTTGGTGATGTTCTGTGTTATAGCTGTGCTTCTTCACTATAGCCCTACAGCAGATAGTTTCCACTGTGAAAGACTGTTGTAATTCTGTAATTTTCCATCCTACATTCTTTCCATAATCCATCTAGTTTACCACAGTGATGGTTTACCAGCACCCATTTCAACAGTTCATTCACACAAACTCTGCATCTGTATAAATTCAATAAATATTTTTATGTAAACTAACTTTATAGATATTTATTACATAAACATTTTCTTTCTTTTTTTGAAGTTTGAAGAGGCATATTTTAATTTTAACAAGAGAATACAATAAGTGAACACCATATCTTTTTAAGTTTTTAATTGCATTTCCTCTTTTGCTCTATTTCTATCAAAAATAACTAGTTTGATGTAAACTAAAATAATTTAATTGTTTAAATAACAGGACCTTACCATTACAATTAGTTATTATTCAATAGTCTGGCATGTAAATTAATATTAAATTTTTGTCTTCCCAAGAGAATTCCATTATATCTGTTTTTGTCTATCACTGAAGTATGCCAACTTTGGCCAACTCAAAGTGACTTGAGAAAGAAACAGACAGATATCACACAAACAAAAACATAGATGTTGTTTTACTGCATTAATAACATGAAAACAGAAAATTACAAATCCCTTTAAATAAGAACAAATATACATTGATTTAGTACTTGGCTTTGATTAGTCAGTAAATTGGAAATTTTTGTTTTCCACTACACAAAACTTCCTTGAAACAAAACTTTATCTACATTTTAACTTTAGCTACCATCATAAAGGATTGTCTTATAAAAATACAAACGACTCCTACAGTTAAACTGAACTTTGTCCAACTAACTTGGTTTACCTGTAGTTTTGAACTATATTTGTGTGATGCAAGCATTATTTGTCTCCATTGCATGATCTTTTGTATTTTCTAGAGCTGGACAATTTAATTCATTGCTTATGAGCAGTAGTTATGTCGATTAATGTCTCATAAACTGGTCTATTAATTGAAATTATGGTTTTCCAATTATTACTTGTTTCAATTATTCCAATAATCCAAGTAATCAGAATATTGCCATTATGTTTGTTTATAAAGTTAACCTTTTCATTCTGTTGTTTCATTTTAGAACCTGTCTGTTCAAGTGAAAATGGAGGAGCCTGGTGATCTGCTACATGATGATGTTATTTCAAAGTTCAGTTGCAGTGATGATGAGGATCAGGGTAGTTCACACTATAATGTTAGGAATATGAAAACAGAAACTGAATTTCAAAGAGATATTGAATCTGGATTAGAAAGAACATCGGGTGAGTACAAACATCTAAAACTCTTGTATTCCTTGACACTAGCTAAACACTAATTACAGGTTCAATTGAGTGACTGACCTTTTAACCCTAAAGTAACCATAAGCATTTCCATACTATAAATTTTAATATGTTTTTTGTATTTTCAGGAAATTTGTCAAGTTTTCAGTAAACATTACAAGTCTTTTGTACACAAAAAGTCAGATTTTTTTTATTAACAATTTCTCTACAGGCATCTTTTTCTGTGCAAATCATGAGGATTACTAATCCTCAAATTTATTAGGAATCTTCAGAGAATTATTCATTAATATTTAGTATTCTTGATTTCATAAAAATATTATCTGTATTGTCTGAAATATAAATTCTGTGAACTTATACAAGTTTGGGTTGTTTTATAGATTTATTTTTGTTATTTATATTGTTTTTTATTAGTGATATACCTTACATGCAAATTAAATATTATGTAGTAAAGCTAAATTTATGGTATTGGAACTCAATTCTTATTCCAAATTTTTTTAGCCAAGTATATTAAGAATAAGTGAAGTGAAAATACCTGCTACATACAAAATTTAGAGTTTTCGTACATTGAAAATTACCAGTTTTTTATGTATATAATTACATATGTAAAAATGCCAACTTAGTCTGCATAGTGAGATCACCATGAATTGTGATATGCTTCATTTTCATATTGCAGTAAAGTTATCACCCCTATGACAGTTCCAATTGGAAATGTCCCATTCTTCATAACCTCAGGTCGAGTAACCTGAGACAAATTACAGCTACATTGTCTAATTAGTAGAGTACCAGTGAAAATCAACATGATGATAAAGAAACATAAAACTGCACTTCTTGAGATCTAATAAAACTTGGCAAGTAATAAATAATTACAATTACAAAAAACATAACAATAATCCCAAAATTTTTTTAAAGATATGATCAAGATGCACGCTAGTGTGTTGTGTGGCCAAATCAGCCAAATTTCAAGGCAATCCATTAGGAAGTACCCGAGATATAGTATCTCTCTCTTTTTTTATTTTTCTTCACACCAAAATAATGGAAACTTTATCTGAAAGAAAAACATACTTAACTTTTATGGGTTTTTTTTAAATTTCGTACACAGATAGATCTTTACAACCTATAATTAGGAATCTCATTTAGTGTAAATATAAACTGAAATTTGACAAATTTTTGCACATGCCTACACAAAAATGTATGTGAGCTATTGCTGTAACATTTTTACTACAGTTTCTCCTAAGAGTAAAAGTGGACCATTTTTAGTGTTTTATCATTCGGATTAAAAACAGCTGACTTAGAGTGGCAAAACTATAGGTTGAAAGCACGTGCAGATACATAAGTAACCTTAGGCCAAGCAAACTAGTTTAGCAGTTTCTAGCTCAAGTTTTTAAAACAGTCATATGGGTGGGTGATTATTATTTACTGCCAACTTTTAAGCACAAATTTGTGAAATTTTATGAGATTCTCATAATTAATGAGCATTTAGCATCACATGATACTAGCTTAAGCAGTTAGCATAAATAATTATGTTTGATACGGCTGCTCTGATGGCATTACTAAAAAGAAAGCTATAACACTGCTTTAGAGAGGAAAAACTACCACTATGTATTTTAAAGAATCGGGTTGATTCTGTAAAGTAAAGGTCTGTTCCGAATGATAGGGTTTCAATCATAAAGCTAATGTTGGTTACTACTGAGTGTCACTTTTTTACTTGCTGAAAAGTCGTGATTTCTAACCAAAAACACCTTAGGTGTGAAAAAACAGGTATGGCCAAAAAGTATTAAGTGTGTGACTTAAAGGAATGAAACAAAAATTGATAGCCAAACTGGTAGCTACACTTATTGCATTGATCAGAATTTTACAGCAAATATTAGTTATTGCTGTAAATTATTATCAATGCTATAAGTGTAGATACCAATTTGACTGCAAGTTTGCTTTCATTACTTTAAGTCACACAAAATATCCTTTTTTTCTTGCCACACCTAAGGCGTGTTTAATTAGATTTCAAAATGCAAGAATATTCATAACTATGAAATGAGCTGTTTTATAAAACCACTTGCTGTGTTCATTACTAATCTTTGTACTAATAAAGCTTCTATAATACAGTTAACATTCTGTGAACTGAGAAATAAACCACTCATCTGAAAATTCAGTTTATAAAAATTGAAACTTCAGAAGATAGAAGATTTTTTTCATTTGTTATTGTGAACTGAAAAATAAGTGGTCCTAGTTCAAATCATTGTGTAAAACCTGACACACAACTGTCATAACAACTGGAATCTCGTGCTTCTTGTGTAACAGCCAAAGGAACGCTCCAGGAGACAGGGAGCACAATACTGAAAGAAACAATGACACCTTCTCTTATTCAGAAGTTCCATATGGTAAATAAGTAATAGTTCCTAGGAAAAGCCCAACTGACCTCACAAAAACTAGTCAAGTTCAGAACAGATTGAAAGTCAGAAAAGTTGCAAACTTACATAGTAATTATTCTTTAAATAAAATTGTTATTTGTAATAATACAATGAAATAGCTGTAGAATATTGAAAGCTTCTATATATTATTTTCGTAATGTATTTTTATAATATTTTTTATATTACTTAATGAAAACTAACATAAATCCAAATTGTTTGTGAAGTTGAACAATGCAACTTTGTAATGAAATATCAGAATAAACAACATAGCCATGCATTTTCTAAAATAGCTATAATATTGTAAGCTCCGATAAAATGAAAGAAGGGCAAAACTTATTTACACTAGAAAATTCTTGCATTTGGAAAAACAACAACAATTAATCGTAATGTAATGGATCATTCATAATGTAAATATACAAAAAGATAATGTTTGAAAACACACACAATAACAAATATCTCAAAATAAAACATGACAAATGTCGAAACATGGATTCAAAGAAACCTTATAGAAAGTTGTCTATATTTCATATTTTTCTTTCTTCACTTCCACCTTTCCTTTGGTTTTCATAAAACCATGCTTCTTATTCTTGGATTTATTATTTTTGGCAATAGTGCCTGAAAATAAAACTGATTTCGTTTATGGAGTATGTTTTCAATCCGAACATCATCATCTCGAATAATTTGTTTGTTACTTATGTCGAGAAGTGCCCAAATAATGAAATCACAAAACTATTTTACCAATTATATGAAGTTGACCCCTGTACTTGGTAATAATATGTATGTGTATCTTTCAGTGTTTAAGTATTATCAAGTGAAGTACAACAAAATCTTTAATTGACAGTGCAGCCTGTAAAGGAGTGATTCCCTTAGCTTTCAGCAGGCACTTGACTTCAATAATACCATCAGTCCCTACAATGGCATCTGCTAAGTATCCTGTCTCTAATATTTGTGTATGAATAACTTAATGATTACTGAAAGCTTACAAAATTTCATGAAGATACATAAAATATATCAGTATGGAAAATATAAAGGTCAATTTGGAGTTATGAACCCAGCTGATTTGACTGAGCTTGTAGCTTTCAGTAAATATTATGTCTTTATTACAAAGAAAATCGGATATTTCAATGTATTTTTACTGAACATTTGTCCATAAACTTATTTTCTTGTTAAGATTAGAAATAATTTCTTCCCTTGAAAATTGTCAAATTTAATTTCAGTAATGTCTCAAATATCCTAAATACATATAAAACATTTTTATTTGTTATTTTCTATACCTTAACTCTATACATAGATTTGTAACCATAATAAAAAATACCAAATAAATCTAACTTATCCTTATTTTTCATCTATAGGATTACTGCAAATTGTAACATGAAACTGCAGTTTGTTTATCTTAAGTAACTTTAAGCTCATAACAGTAAAGATAGATTTATACCTATTTTATTCTTTCACACTAGTTGTAAATCACTTGGTAAATGTATAGCTTATCTTATTGTATTGAATGACAACTTACAAGCTGCTTTTAAGCACACCTCATGAAGAATTTTTATTATAATTATTTTCTTTATCTTATTTAATTTAACCTAATAAGTTTATAATTGTTATATATTAATTGCTTTTATAACAATAAAAAATATAACAATAACTAATTCACCTATGACCTCTTGTGTTTTAAGCCTACTTTTTATACTCACAGTACAAGTATGCTAAATGATTTTGATTTACTTCAATAATTCACCTAAGAACACAGAAGGATATCACACTCAAAGCAAACAATGTTGTATAATTATCATAATTTATCTGGCTTTCTAGCTATGACAAGAGTCTTTAAAACTTGTCAACTTTAAACACCTTGAGAGAAACTTTCAAACTGAAAAAGAAAGAAATAATACTTTGTACTAAAACAATGTAATATAATGTCATTTGATAGATTAAAACATTGGGTTTCTAATGATTATAAATAATGTTGTATAAAATACAATAGAGAACTATTGGCAATTTCTGAAAGAGAATATGGCAAGTGGATCTGATTTTCTGGGTTATGATTCTGTAAACAAATATCATTTAAGGCTCTTAACATTAGATTCTGCCTTAGTAACCTCTATATTATAATATGCAATGTAAGTGAAATTCCTTTCCACTCAGAGGAATGGTAAATAAATTAGAGAAGACAGAGGATTTTTTAAACTATTTCTTCATAAAATTAAGAACTTAATAGTTACATAATATTACAATTTGATTCGTTATTTATGTTTTGATGCCAAGTTTTGCATATAAAATTATAATAAAGCAGATTAATTGTATTTTGAATGTAAATAGCTCTCTAAAAAGTTAACATGCACTTTGACCTTCCTGTAGCAAGAGGGTCAAAAAAATTTGGTTGAATTCTTGGTGATCTTCTGTATGTTATTGTTCCATATGAGACAGGATTAACTTGAAATGTAGAGATCTGTGTTTGGTGTGTCTTTTGTTACTTCTACTTGGGAATTATTGTGTGAAAGGCTTTAAAATGATAAAATGACAACATTTGAAAAGATTTTAGGATGAAGTTTGCCTCAAAATGAATGGGGAGAACAGTACTTATTTCTATAAAAAGAAATATTAAGAAACTTCCTAGCTGACCAATGTTTGTTATCTTCCTGTATAAACTTTGTAAATAATGATTGGTACCCATTTCTCTAGATTAATGTTTCAACATGTTCACGGAATGTACTGTTGTCATTTATTTCCATAGATGTGATTTACTGATCACTACCAGCTCTATAGAATCTGAGACTTGAATAATCCCAAATATCCAGTCTCTTAATTTAGCATGGTGAAGTCAGTAATGAAACAGCTTCTAGTCACAGGAATGATACCTAACCTTGATAAAAGAATAAATATTATATAAACATTTTAGTTTAGTCTAAATCTTGGCATTTATAAATATTCATTTAACGTATATAGAACTTATGAATAGGAACTACAAAGTATTGGTCTTGATTAACTTGTTAAAATAGACAAATCATTAGAAGATTTCATGATAATCAACCACTTTAAGTTAGAAAATATCTCTAACAGTTAATCCAGTAAGGAACTGTCTGAAAGTAATGTTGGTTATTATGACACTGTACCATCATATTTCCATTGATGATTTTAGACTTTATCTACTAGAAACTTTTCTTGAATGTAATATGTTACCAACAGTTTGTCAATGCTTTTGTGACCTAGGTAGAAAAGTTTTAATAATGTTTGAAACTATGAACACTTCATCATAATTAATTAATATTTTGATACTGATATTTCTGTTGATTATAATAGAACATCAAAATATATTTTGATATTCATCAAATAAAATACTGTATGATATGTTTATTATAAACTATTTTTGTGACATCATTTATATCTATTTCAGATATAAAGACCAGTGTGAACATCTGTTCTTGGAATCAGTTTCCTGGTTATGATGTCATAAAAGATCACTTTACAGAAGACATAAAATTTTCAAACAACAACATTTGTGGAGATACAAAGTTAAGTGGAAATAACGTAATAGAATCTAATATACAATTAGAGCGTGATGATAAACTATACAATTGTGGAAAAACATTTGATATCTTAAAACAACAAAAGAGAATACACTCTGGAGAGAAACTTTATCATCGTACTATGTGTGGAAAACAGCTTGGTACAAATAATGAATTACAAATAAACACTGGAGAGAAACCTTACAATTGTACAGTTTGTGAAAAGCTGTTTGGAACAAATATTAAATTAAAAATATCTCAAATAACACAGACTGGTAAGAAACCTTACAGTTGTGTAGTGTGTGCTAAACAATTTATATTTAAATGTAAATTAAAACAACATCTGATAACACACACTGGTAAGAAACCTTACAGTTGTGTAGTGTGTGCTAAACAATTTATATTTAGGTGTAAATTAAAACATCATCAAATAACACACACTGGTAAGAAACCTTACAGTTGTGTAGTGTGTGCTAAACAATTTATATTTAAATGTAAGTTAAAAGAACATCAAAGAATACACACTGGGGAGAAACCATACAGTTGTACAGTGTGTGGAAAACACTTTGGCAAAAATAGTGTCTTAAAAGCACATCAAAGAATACACACTGGGGAGAAACCATACAGTTGTACAGTATGTGGAAAACCATTTTTAACAAATGGTAAATTAAAAAGACATATAAGAGTACACACTCGGGTCAAACATTACAGTTGTACAGTGTGTGAAAAACAGTTAGAAACAAATGATGAATTGAAGATACATCGAAGAATACACACTGAAGAGAAACCTTACAGTTGTACAGTGTGTGGAAAACAGTTAGGAACAAAGGGTCAATTAAAGATACATCAAAGAATACATACTGGAGAGAAACCTTACAGTTGTACAATGTGTGGAAAACGGTTTAGTACAAATAGTATCTTAAAAACACATCAAAGAATACACACTGGGGAGAAACCTTACAGTTGTGCAGAATGTGAAAAGCAGTTTGGAACAAATTATAAATTAAAAAGACATCAAAGAACACACACTGGGGAGAAACCTTACAGTTGTACAGTGTGTGGAAAACAGTTTGGTACAAATAGTACTTTAAAAAAGCATCAAAGAAGACACACAGGAGAGAGACCTTACAGTTGTACAGATTGTGGAAAAGAGTTTGGAACAAATGAGTGTTTAAAAAAACATCACAAAATACATTCTGGGGAGAAACCTTACAGTTGTACAGATTGTGAAAAGCAGTTTAGAACAAATGATAAATTAAAAATACATCAAAGAATACATAGTGGAGAGAAACGTTATAGTTGTACAGTGTGTGTAAAACAGTTTGGAACCAACAGTGAATTAAAAATACATCAGAGAGTACACACTGGAGAGAAACCTTACAGTTGTACAGTTTGTGAAAAACACTTTGGTACAAATAGTAACTTAAAAGCACATCAAAGAAGACACACTGGGGAGAAACCATATAGTTGCACAGATTGTGGAAAACCATTTTTAACAAATGGGGAATTAAAAAGACATAAAAGAGTACACACTACATAGAAACCTTAGTAACTATAGCTTAAAAACACCTCTGAGAATACACACTGGGAAGAAAAGTTACATTTGTATAAGCTCCCCCCTATACCTCAGCAGTAATTCTGTGGCCTTACAATGCTAAAAATTGGATTTTGATACCAGTGGCTGATACAGCACAGATAGTTCATTGTGTGTATCTTTGTAACTTACCATATAACATTAAAGGACAACAGGGGAACATTTGGTCCATATGAGCAATCTATTCACTAAATTAAATTACTAAACCCTCAAAAATAGAAAAAAAAAATCTTAAAGCCAGTTCTTTTCATTAGAATATTTATCAAGTTTCTCTTAAACCCCCTTAAATTAACAGCATCCACCATATTTGAAGACAACCTGTTTCATAGTTCAGCCAACCTTTTAGAAAAATCCAAGCTGTTTTAGCTTAAGATGACTTTGCTTGAATTTATATTTCTGTCTCCAAGTCTAAGCATTATCTTCATCAAATATGAAAAGTGATGATGCTTCAACTTTTCTCTTAACAATCTTGTAAACCTGAATCAGATCTATATTTTTCTTTTTTCAAGCGAAAACAAGTTCCAGGCATCATCCTAGTATTTCTCCTCTAATCCTTTTCGAACAATTCAATATCCTTTCTGAGGAATTACAAATACATCAAAGAACACACACCAGGACAAACCTTTACAGTTATATAGTTTCTAGAAAACAACAAGGATCAAACAATTGAGTAAAAAGACATAAAAAAACATACTTACAGCTGTCTTGTTGTAGCAAAACGTTTGGATTAAATTGAGTTCCTAAGAAGGTGAAAGATAAAACTGTATTGTGAACATATTTCTAAGTACATTAGAAGGTATCACCTGGTCTCACACCTCAAGTAAATGGCTGTTAAAGAATTTTTGGGTAGAACTTTATATACACTATAAAGTTTAGATCTTCCAATACTGGAAATGCTAAATACTAAACAAAATTTTCAATTTTGCTCCAAAAGTAAAAATAAAACAAAAAAGATAGCCAAAAACTGAACAAGTTATTGTTAATTCATATCTGTTTAAGATAGAAAGAAATATGATCTAACATTTTTTGGACATTGTAGTCATCCAAATTGTGAATGGAATCAAAATGAGAAGTGTAGGATTTAGCATTCAACATAGATTTCTTATTATCACTATCTATAAAAAAAACACGTAATTAATAACCTTGCTTGTTCTTTCATACATGAAGTAGATGAGGAAGGTAAAAGTTATTAATAAGTAACACCTTTAGCATTGTTCTGTCTGTCATATTTAGAGCCTTGACTTCAGTTCCTGATAAGAATGTGTGTGTGAAGTAGATGAGGAAGGTAGAATTTATTATTAACCCTTCTGCTGGGTTTTTTCTACCTTGATTAGACTAGTGAATATGATTACACTGGGCTGAATACTTTTGTTCTTTCAACTACTGAATGTGCTTACACTGAGCTGACTTCTTTGGTGTTGACTCAACTATTGATTGTGGTTATACTGGGCTGACTACTCAACTTTGGTCTTGATTCAACTACTAAATGTGGTTACAATCAGCTGACTACTTTGTTGTTCATTCAACTTCTGAATATGTTACACTGGGCTGAATACTATACTTGAGAATTAGCCTTAAAAGATTTTGTAGCAAATAAATAACAGAACAGTTTAAAGAATATTAAAATTTAATACCTTTGACTGGAAATGGACAGATAAAACAGTAGTTGTTTATATAAAATGAAGCAACAAGACGCTCTCTAACTGACCAGTATTTGTTACTTTCCTGGTTCTTTATGTGGGGACTTTGTGAGTAATGCTTCAGAAATACTGTGCATAGATTATTGTTTTAAGATGTGTTAA